TGCATTTTCCAGATAAGCGATACTGTCGTGTGTTTGTATGCAGATTCATTGAAAAAGTAATGGAAGGGCCCTAATAAATCGATTTATTGCAAGGGCATACCCTCAAAGTATCTTGTCAAAATTTTACACATAATCTAAAGAAGCATTAAGATATTTGAAAAGTGCTGCGAACCTCTTGAAATCTTGCAAATAAACTAATTATAGCTATATTTAATGTAGTTGACCAGCAAAATATTCAACCTGCCGCCCAACATATTAAATTTTACCAATTAAAAAAGGAAATCTATACAGGTTCGCAGCACTTTTCACAAGCTACATATAGTGTTGAAAAGAATTATAAAATAAACTATTATTTTTAACTTGGTTATGCCCTTGCAATATTGACATTTATAGATGACCTCTAAACTGCAAGCATTATTGTCAAAGTCATGTGACGTCGACATCAAATGACAAGTCTAAATAAAAAATCTAAATTTCCCCAACATGTAGATTTAAACCACATTACATTTTTTTATATTAGTGAATTCCTAAAAAGAATCGCCCATCCTATAATAAAATATGTATTTTTTATCTTAAAAAATCGCAGATATTTCCATTTGTTACCTTAACTGTGCTGCGGAATTACAAAATGACAAACCTATTCTATTGAAAAGTGATCTATCGTTCTTATACCTATATTCGTCAGATTTTCTGATGCAAGATAAGCTATGAAGAAACAACAGGAAATTATCCTTTATTTTCGCTCAAAATTACCAGCATTTCTATAATTCAGGTGCTCTACAGATGTTATATATATTTTGATATGGAAGAAAAATCCTATAAGTTCCTGCCAGAAATGACTTGCTATTAATCTAAAGCGCACTCTAGTGATTTTTTCAAACTTGAAAATTCATCTCTTTAGTTAAGCACTACTTTGAAATTTTTGAAAATATTTCATCCTGGAACGAACTTTTTTAACACCCCTTATATTGATAAAATTAAGTTTCCATTCCTAGTGTATATAGGTTATAATCTTTCAAATATTACTCCACAGGGTAAAGGGTCCTCTGAAGACATTTCAACAATATCCTCCGTGAAGCCAGAGAATTTTCCAAGTTATGGCGACTGTATTTAAAAATACAAGTACCATTTTCAACCAGATAATTATCTTCTTAGTGGTAATTGCCATGTTAGTGGAAACAAAATCCCTCCGTCTTAAACGTTGGATAAAAGTATATATGCTCAACTTTTCACACGTTTATAAAGTCACGTATTTAGCTGATATATTTTAAAGGGGCATGCATGGACAAAATTTCAACTGATTTTTATTTTATCAATTTTAAATTTTTACTAAGTCTAGCTATGGCAATTCTAATGGTCAGCAAAAATTTTCAACATATTTTTTTTTTATTTACAAAGGAGATACAGGACTGAGAATTCTTCATGATGTAAACAAGGCTCGAGCTCGTTCCTTTGTTTTTGTTTACATTTAGAAAATATCATGTTTATAACAAAACGAGATTCAGCAAATCATTCAAAATTGTCTAATTGTATTAAAATTAACTTCTTTATTGAAAAAATCTGCTTTGACTATATAGCTTTTTATCTTTATAGAAAACAAAGGAAATGACTTTTTCTAAATTTAGTTAGTCTGAACTTACCAAAAATCCGACATTCATGACGTTAAAATGTGTTTTATTTCGTTTGTCAGTTATTCATCCCTGAATTATACACAGTATATTCTGTGGTGTTAATATGCTATTAAATATAATTAAATGCGCTCAGCAGAATAAAATCTAAGTAGAGACCAATACGAACCCCCAACCACCCCCCGCCCGGGGTGAACAAAAATTTCCGCGGCCCTAGACGGGGAGCCATACAATTTTGTTGCACTGGGTGTCTTTTCAATGATAACATCTATGTTTAGGTATTGGGATAGAAAAAGAAAGATAACCTTGAAATGTAGATGTAAATATTTATTACATTTAGAAAACAAAGAAGTTGCGTCTTGCGACCATTAAGATTCATTCCCTGCTAGTTATATGATTTTGCTTACCTCATCCCAAGTACTTAACGCCACGAAATGACTTGTGGGCGTCAAATCGCGAAAAAAATCGCTAGTGGACATTTGATTAAGAGATTTTGCATTGATTTTAGCACCATAAGAATAAAAGCGTGATTTATTGATTGATTGATTACTGTTTAACATCCCTCTCCAGATTATTTCACTGATATGGAGACGTCACAATTGCCGGTGAAGGGCTGCAAATTTAGGCCTATGCCCGGCACTCAGGGCCATTGAGCAGGGAGGGATCTTTATCGTGCCACACCTGCTGTGACACGGGGCCTCGGTTTTTATGGTCGCGTTCGAATGACCGCCCCATTTAGTCGCGTTTTACGACAAGCAAGGGGGTACTGAGGACCTATTCTAACCCGAATCCCCACGGGGAAATAAAAGCGTGTAATTGCGTGGACCCTGAGGTCCACGCAGTAAATATATAAGCGAGGTTAAACCGGATGCCCTGGGCAAACGTAAGGATACGCATGCACGAGAATGCTGGAGAGTTTCCTCCTAAGACAACTTGCTCGTAGAATAATTCGCTTTAGTCGAATTAGAATATGCAATTTCATTGGCAAATCATGCTTTTACATTTGCATTATTCATCGTATATATTTATTGATGGATCTTATTATACAAATCAAACATATTGATTCTATGGCACAAGCATTTTAAAATGTAGGAAGAACTTGCAGTATAGAGTATACATGTATACTATATTAGATAACTCAATAACTTGATTTTAAAACTTCATTCAACAAATTCTAGCTTTAAAAAAAATCGGCATTAGTTTTGTGCATCAAGGCTCGCAAAATAATTTGATACACAGCAATCCAAATACAGCTTAATAGATGCCTGTAGAAACGGGGTTCCATTGTGGGGGGGGGGTAGAAAATTTAAAAATCTGCGTACTATAGAGCTATGCTAAATTGTACCATCAGATCTATTTTCTAATGATAGATTTCTTCCGTATAAGTCCAGAACAGAAATTATGTCCCAATCAATATGGTTTACATGTATCAAAATAGCCCGACCTTTTTTAAATTAGAAAACTATAGGCTAATCGGATATAAAATTTAATAATTTAGATATGAATGTACTAATCAGTCAAAGTAAGCAGGTCATTGTGGAAATGTAAATGAACCTATGTAAATTTACTAAACCTAAAAAAATTCTCTAGTTGAATTTCGGTTCGAAACACATGCATATGGTCCACGTATTGCAGTCCTTTTTTTAAAGGACAGCAACTTGTTTCATTTTGCGAGTAGTGCTTCTCGCAAATATATGCGATAATTAATTACTCGCGTATATTTAAGAATCTTAAGTAATTTTTCTGCTGTCTGTTCTTGACATTGCAAACTTTCCACGTTTTCTTTCGCTTCTCATTAGTCAATGGACCATTTTCAGCCAAATATGACACAACATTAGCCCTGTATAATGGGGATTCAAGTTTGTTCAAATCCTATCTTCTAAGGGAATATTATCCAGAAATAAAGAAAAAATGGGTGAGGTATTACCGTAATTTAAAAATCGTCAAAACTAGACAGATTCAAGAAATCGAAGGAAAAAAAACTCTCCAAATTCTCATTTCTTCATAAAATATGGAAATATTTAGGAAAAATGCAATACACAAAAAATAATAAGACATGAATGCACTATTTCAGATCTATTATTTTTATTCGCAATTGAGGTTTTAAACGAAAACATACATAGTTCAACATATTTGTGTGGTGATACAGTGCTGCTATCCTATAAGTTGACAATTCTATCCTATCCTATTGTGAATCCTGCATCCACAATCCTATCCTATGATTTCAGTTTAATCCTATCCTATCCTATCCTGCAACTCTCAGTTTTTTTAATATTTAGGAATTAATTTGACAAAACGAAAAAAGGGAATAACCAGGAAAAAAAATCAGACATAGTTATAGTATTCATTTAAATGTTATAAATTTTAATGGAAAAAAAAAATAATCGAGATCGGCATTCCATAATTCCCGACTCGCCGCACAAATTGAAATTACGATTATCATTGCCATGTTAAAAATAAATGTTAACAAACAGGTCGTAATTACACTTGGACAAGTACTGATTTTGCGAACATATGTAAAGAAATTGGGCAACCAGAAGATTAAAGAAAAAAATATACTTAGTGTTTTAATTTTCCTACAAACAATGATCGGGAGACCCGGGATCGCGAGTACTTGCTTCCGACGCATTATAATTTATTATTTTGAAAAATCATAGGCCTATACGGTAAAAATGTTTAAGTATATATATCATGTAAAATTTTATTTTTTCCTAAACTGAGCACCATGAAAATAACATGCATGTACATGTATCTATAATCTAACTGTGCCTGCATAACAGGTTTTTCTGTATGCAATTCTCAAAAAGATCTGACTAGACCATAAATCAAACAGACAAAGTCAAAATGTAGATCTAGAATATTTTGACTTTCACATATTAAACAATTTCAATGTGAAAATGTCTTATAATATCAAATATTAAATGTATGATTTTTTTATTTAAATTCATAATTTATTCTTTTTTAAAATTTCAGTTCATCATCTGTCGTGTGATATTTTTCAAACATGCAAAATATATAGCTGCTAAATAAAATTCAAGATGATCGAAATGTTTTTTTTTTTTTATTAAACTTCAGTTTCTTCTCAGTTATTGGTCAGCTCAGTGCCGTACAAATGTATTTCAATTTCCTATTTTGTTTCTTGTATGAAAATTTAATAATTTATGTTTAATAGAATATATTTTCTAAATTTGATATTGGTTGACAGATTGACAGTATATAAACATGATAAATATTGCATGTAGTTGAGTGTAACATTGAAAATTTTCACCCCGAGAAAACCATTGTCAACCGAGGCGCAACTGAGGTTGACAATGGTTTTCGAGGGGTGAAAATCTTAATGTTACACTCAACTACATGCAATATTTATTATATTATACTGAATGTTTTATACAAATACATATTAGAGTGAACCGTGCATGCATAAATTCCGCGCAGTCACTATTTTTTTGTAATACCACCCGTCGTCAAGCAATGTTGACTGTTGCTACGCAGGAGGGCATGGCTTCATTATTCAGCGGGTAGTAGTGTTTTTTATCAAATGTTTCTCGACGAATCAGATTCAAGTAATTTACATGAAAGTATAATATTAATAAATATTGTAGTGAGGTCACACATGTTCCTAAGATCTTATAAACATGTAAGAAAAATTCAGAATTCACAGTATTTACAGTATTTATAACTCATTCTTGAGTAAAGCAAGTTTGTATCTGACCTTGGCATTGGACTTTGAATCTTAATCAGTGTCTGATTGAAAAATATTAAAATGCTCCACACATGTTCCTTTAATCTTATAAACATGCACAAGAATTCACAGTATGTATAACACATTCTTGAGAAAACCTTTCATTTGTCCTTGACATTTGATCTTAAAATTATCAGTGTTTAAATGAGAAAAAAAAACTTTATCAAGGACACAATATTTTTATTCAAGGTGATTCCTCAACAATGTTTAACAATTGAATATTCCATTACCATGAGACAAAGTCATTAAAAGTATCCATGTACAGAATTTATGAATTTTAATTCAAAGATCACAGATACATGTACATGAACTTTGTTTAAATTTAAGTTTATCAATGTTTTTATTACCGTAGTATAATGTTTTACATGCATTTAATTTGACTTTCTTATTCGACGCTCAAATTGAAATTCAAATGTCAGAGTTTTTGTCAGAGAGATGGTCATAAACTGAACATTTCCACAAATGTCAACAACGCACAGAAAACATACACTGATCTCCTTAATAAAAGCACTATGATTTCAGTCTTAGGAATCTTTGACACTGGTTTGAACATCTTTCATCATTTACTCTAACAGCATATGGCATGAACTGCATTGTGCACAGCTGCAAATCTGCAGGGTTTCCTAAAAAAAATCACATAATTATAGGCCTGTAGATTGTAAATTTTGTCATACACATTTCATACACATTTAAAATGTTTTTGATTGTGATTATCTTTCATATTTCATGTACAATTGGCTTTAATTTCACCTTTTTCTCTAAAAAAAATTATGCATTTAGAAATCATGAAAAATAAAATCTTATACTGCAACCTCAGTCATATAAAATTAAGAAAAAAAATCTTATTTAAGATAATTTACTTGTACATTATAATTCATTTTATCTTGTCAACTTGCTAACAAGTATGAATACATTTGTTTTAGTGACTTTTCTCTATTTTCTCTTTGTATTTATCTATTTCATGTTTTTTCTTGGTTTTCTTTGGTCTTGAAATTTGAATATGTAAAAGAAGAAGAAAATATCTATGCAACAGCAACATGATGACCAGAAAAATTCAACATTTCTTTCAGTTTAACTCTCAAGATTTTTTAAAGAAGAAAATCACTTGTTCTGAGAAACTGCAGACATGTCACCTCAACACAGATAATGATGTTTATATAGTTGAATGACCATAAAAAAATACATGATAAAAATAAAATCATACATACTTTTTAGATTAAAATCCTTTATACTGTGATGACGCATGAGTGCAGGCCAATCCATCACTGTAATGATGAATATTGAAAGATTAACTTATGTTTCATAACTCACAATACATCATACATACATGTACAATATGTAAGTGCACTGCTGAGTGAGCTTATTAAACATTTCAGCAGTAGCATTAGAAATGGTCATGATGATTTTACATTAATTTATCTTTTAAGTTACACTGAAATGAAAGAATTACGGAAATAATAAGATTAATAAACTGATTAAGACATAATACATATGATTGTTTTAGTCTTAGAGCTCATTGATAGCTAATTGAATCATATGGCAGAGTAACGGGGGTATTTGTAAATATTTTATCCCCCCTTCTGTCTACACTACTTATTTTTCCGCACCTAATTTTTGTTTATATTAAATAGAATAAAATGTTTATATTTTAAGACAAAAGAACATTGTTTTGAGGGATAAATAAGTATAAAAATGCAAACATGTACAGTGTACAGTGTGTAGTATACTTACATGAACTCGCACATCATCTATTCAAGTCCGCTGTTGACGGTTCCTGTGGAATTATCCAAACAAACAGAGCATATTTAACAGAAAACATGTTAGAACACTTTTACACAAGTAAGAATCGGTTAAATCATCCAAACAAGCTGAAGAAATACGGTCTTTCGATGTCTGGACTCTTCGTTGTTTACATTCTCAAATGTCAACTTGTGGGATAGCAGCACTGTAAATCTTTTCCAGAATTCTAACTTTCATTGATAAAATAGAATGATCAGGTGAATTAAAATGTTTATATAAAAGCTGCTGACCACCATGATTTATTTGAAATCGATGACCTGATATTCTTTTGTTAAGCGATCCCTTGGTTTCACCGACATAAATAGGTCCACACAGATTACATTCTATTCCATAGACAACATTAGAAGATTTGCAGTTCAGATTTTCCCAAGTTTTGGTATAGAAGCTCTGTCCAGTAAGATTACTCTCTCCTGTCAGTTATGTCAGTTATATTTTAAAACAAGAGGCTCATGGGCCCAACTCTCACCTTAAAGATATGGCTAGGAAAAAAGCAGAAATAAGTTGAGTATGTAAATTTTAGATCCATAAATGGTCCAAACATACCCTTAAAGGGGACAGGTATGACTTGAGCAAATTATGACTATATGTGCTTTTTTATTATTTATGGTTGGACAACTATAGATACCCCACCTTAACCCACATCCCTCTCACTTCCACAGGGGTTCATGAATTGTACAAATAGAAATCAACACTTCCTAAGGTGCTTCCAGATACACGTAAATATGTCCAATCATGGCACTCCTGTTTTTGAGATAAAAGTATCAAAAATCTTATTCATATATTCCTATGCACCACTTTGCTCGTCCCATGTGGCCACGTCAAACTCTGAGGGTCGTAAGGTGAACAAATTTTAATCTACATTATCTGAGGTTGCTTCCCTATAAGTATGACCACTCATGGCTTCTGTTCTTGAGAAGTTTTTTTTTATTATTTTTTTTAATCTTCTCAATTTCAATATAAAACTTTGATTGTCCTTGATTGTTCCGCCCTACCGCCAGGGGTCATAATTTGAACAAACTTGAATTAACACTACCTCTGAATATTTCCAAATTAGTTTCGCACTTCATGACATAGAGGTTCTTGAGAAAAACATTTTTGAAACATGCCTCCAAATTCTTATCAATTCTAATTTATTTCCCCTTGAGCTAGGCGTAGCCCTTCATTTGAACGACCTTGAATCCCCTTTAACCAAGAATGCATCTGGCAAGTTTTTTTTTTTTTTTTTTAAATGGCTCAACTGTTCTTGATAATTATCAAAATTGTATTTTAAAAATTACAGACAGACGGACTGCAAATAAAAAAAACTCACTTGAGCTTTTGCTCAGATGAGATAAAAGGCTGCAACATGATACTTGGAGGAACTTTATGTTCACAAAGTTTGTTTACATTCAATCAAGAACATTACATAACAAATAGGAATGAAATTAATTGATGAATAAAATATAGAGATACAGCACAGTAGTCAAGCACAAAATCTATTGAACAAAAGATCAGGAACAGAGTAAGCACGGACTTCCAAAAACATCAGAGGTGAGATCAGGTGCCATTGATGACTGATGAAATTAAATATTTTATAATTAATATCATATCTATATAAAAGTTAATTATTCTTACATGAAAAAATGTTTTTTTTTTTTTCTTTATTGAAACGAGGGAAAAATCAATCCCTTATTTCATTTTCATTAATATGAGCGATTTCAGCAGGTGATGAATAATGTGGATCGGTCTCCTCTATATTTGTATTATTATTCACAATGTACTTGTTAGCTATGGTGACTGCTATATATGCGATGAAAATTGCAACCAGGGTTATACCAAAAATCAGCATGTATACATGAATGTCTTTTAAATTCTCTCCCTCTACAATAGAAACAATGTCAAAAACATACTATACCGTAAGATTTACATAATATGACAAATGAAATTAGATATTCATGTGCTCCGTTCTATACTGGCTAAACGTTTTAGTCGAAAATAAAACGGTAAAAAATGACTTACCTCCGGCATGGCATCCTGTAGCAAAATCACAAAGACTCCTGTCACATCGACAGACTTCCTTACAACCTTTACCAAAGTTTGGGTACTGACAAGTCTGACTGCAGTTTATACCAATGTATCCAAAAGGGCATTCTGTCATTTAAGATATATACAGAACAATACATGTTAAAATTAAATCGAGAGGCAAACACGAAGAAAAACTACTTAAATGCACTTTGACTTTTTTAAATTTACCATTGTCAATGCAGCCATCTATATTGTCGCATGATTGATTACCACAGTTACATTTATCTTTGCAGTATTTCCCATAAAAAGGATAATGACAAGACTCATTACAAAATTCACCAAAAAATCCCAAAGGACAATCTATAAATAAAACATCCCAGATTATAAACTGAACAAGTTAGTTCGATTAAGGAGAACATGCAGGACATAATTTAATTAAGGATGAAATGTATAACAAGAATCTCAAAATTATTACTTAATATAGTTACCTACTTCTGCAGAAACGTTATGATTTTAACTTAATTATCATTACTCTATTTAAGAAAAATTAGAAAAAAATGGTACATATGTAAAGTGAACTTTAAACAAAGAAGTATTAAATGCATATATGTAGTATAAATAACACCTTTTCTTGTAAAAATGATTATGTGCCGTTGGTATAAAATAACTAAAAAAAATCATTTTTAAGAACACATTTATAACCCTGACTTGAAATAGTTTGTTTCGTACTAACCAACACATTCTCCTTTAGATTGATCCCATATGGTATCAGGACAGCATCCTTTGAATGATCTTAACACAAGTCGAAAGCAAGGTTATTACACATATATGTATATATATATAAGTACATAAGTACATAAGTACCGAAAGCTAAATACATAATAAATAAAGATGGGTTAAATTCTTTGTAAATAAACATATTCAAAATGAATAGAAAGACAAATAGACTTTCTCCATGCATTTAAAAAAATGCCTTTTCAAACGTGTTTTTCATATAGAGAGGTCATTTGTTTTGTTCATTTTTTTTTTTACTGATTTTCTGTTTTCCTGCAGATTGTTTTTTTTTAATGTAATTCACTTTACTTTGCTTTCAGGTGTTTCTTACAAGCGTATTTTTAATATTTTACCCTTAAAAATAACGTTTTCTCAAATCACGTTGCTTATTTATTCATTTTATTTTATTTTATTTTATTTTGAAATCGTCCTAATTCAAAACCTTTTTTGACTCAAGTGACAATAGATGTCGACACGATAAAAGCCCTCTTTGCTGAATGACCCTAGATGCCGGGTAAAGATCTAAATTTTAAGCTTTTCATCGGTATGTAGTCAATATTAGTGAAAATTTTCAACAATAAATCGTTAATATCGTCTCAAAAACTTCAAATAAAAAAAGAATTCTAAAATGTCAGTATTAACGCTCTGAACAAAAAAAGGTATAAACAAGATGTGTTTATGAAACATTATGCACCCGACTTGTTAGATACTATACAATTATTGCTGTTTTTTGAGGTCAATACAATGATTTAGCCATCTGAGGAGTACAATATTCACCGAGCCTGGAGGGCGAGGTGAATATTGTACTTCGAAGATGGCTAAATCATTGTATTGACCAAAAAACAGCAATAATTGTTTTATTATATGATTCACTGAAAAAATGATAGAGCCCATTACTTGTTTGCATTAAATTAAGTCCTAGCCAAATACAAAAGAGAAGCAGAATTAAAATATAAATAAGCATTTCCAGTCGTATCAATTTGAAGTTTTTTTTATCAATTTTAGTTGCCATGAAAAAAAATATAATGTCAGTCTCTTTTATAGGATAAATTTTCAAAGGAAGGAGTATTATCAGGGAAAACTGACTGCCAAAAAGTAAAAATTGTTGTTCAGTAGAAGTGTGTTGGAGGAGTGCCCCTGCATCCCCTCTTACCACCTCACCTGAAAAATATTATCTCTTATGTTTTGTTCACATGAAAAAAAGTCATAGTCGTTTGAATAGCCTTCAAAAACAATTTGTATCAATTTGGAATTTCCCAATCTATTTTTAGATCAATGTAGACGAAATAAATCATTGTATTGACCTGGAACGTCACGTGCAGGTCAATACAACGTAGTATTTTTCTAACATAGTTGGCCAATTAGAGAGAGGGAAATTATTCAATCATATAATAAACGTTTTTAACAATATACATAAAAAACTGTGCAGTAAAATTTCTTTCGAAACATCCTGTTATATATCTTGTTTCTTGGGAACAAACACAGAAGTAAATTTGAAGGATAATTTGACATACATGTTATGTACAACATGTACCTTAGTCTAAAGTATTATAACGAGAAAAAAAAGACTTTATTTAATTTATCATTGACAAATATTTGCTCCAATATCAAAAATTTCAAGGGGAAATAATAAATTATGTTCTAAGTCAACAGATAATACAATGTATATTTTGAATATTTATCATTTTTATCAGCTGTTACGCCAAAGGTTAAAGATGAATTCAACAGTGACGTACATTAACATCACAATGTTTTTGAAAAAAAAATTACGGCAATAACTGGAAATATTGAGTGGAGGTCAGCTGAAACTCGCTATTTCGATTAAATGTTGAGAATGATAATATCAAAGAAATATTTGAAAATTGATTCTAAGGAAAATATTCAAAACGGGAGTCAAACACAAACAAAAGGGCATTTACTCCACTTCTCGGAGACAAAACCCGATCTTTTCCCTTTCAAGAACACATCGGTAATTAATGCGTTTTGTAAATTAAGAATAACTTAAAATATACGCATAATTATGGACATTTCAAGAGATTATAAAATGTTCACTTGCCGTATAAAGTTGAGTTTGAATTAATTGTTTGTTTTTTTTTATTTTGCAGAGGATACACCACAGTCATGAACATACTAAGTACGCGTAAACAATATTATTACAAATCACTAAACTGGCGTTTTGGGAGTCGTTATCTTGAAAAAATATGATTTGCAGAACGTCGAATATTATAGGGATTTATTAAACGTGCAACAAGGTACCAAAATGTAATTATACTTACACAATACATTTGCCTTCCTTGCAGCATTGAAAGTTAATTTGTGTCACTAGCACTAATGCAAAAAAGAAATGCTTCATGGAAAACTTTGACCTCGAAATAATTTTGCAGTCTGCAAATATTCTTCCTTATTGAGTTCTTATAAATATGATACTAGTCTCAAATCATTTCCGTAGCACTTTAATATATATCTGCCTCGATTATATATGAAACGTTTAAAATACATAGAATTTATGGAGATTTGTAGGCATGCCAACAATGAGTCACCTACTCCATCACTGTTTGTAGCTGGTTGCTTAGATGTAAGTAATGAATATATCTACACGAAGCGTAATACTTTAAAACTGTCAAGAGTTCCATGCACCAAACGATTTGATCCAAATTTTAAATAAACTGTGAAATCCATTTGTCAATCTGTTTATTTATTTACATAAAAAATCAAATAAATAAATTTAAAGCAATTATAGCTGGAGTGTATAATTACCGCAATGTATTTTAAATATTCTTTACCGCTACATGAAACTACACTGTATATACACTGTAAGTGTGCTTTCCAATTTATTTCAACTTTTACTATAAATCATTCCCAGATGCAATGAATAGAGGCAATTTATTAACTTTAATCACATTTAATGTAAAACAATGATTACATTTTGCAGCAAATATTTGTAACACTTATAGATGTTAATACCCCGGCGAAATCCAGGGAATCACTACCTGCCTACTGACCTGGCGCGATAGCACACCCATAGGTGACTCTGGTGGGAACAGACCTATTGGTACCAACAAGAGTGAATGCCACATGAATTGAATGAATTCAAGTTCTGACTCAAGCCCTAACTCTATACCTACCCCCCCCCCCGGATTACAACAACAACATAGGGATAACACCCCAGGGGTAGAGGGTAGACCCCTAAAACCTGCCCTTGGTACTACAAGGATCAAGCTGCTCCATCAGGTACCACTGAGAAAACCCCCACATCTTCCGCAGTAATGAGAATAGATTACCCAGAGTTTTGAGCTATGCAGACAAGGTAGAAATCCTCATACGTGGTATTCCCCAACTACGCCAAATGAACTTGTCTATACAAGTTCACCCACCACTAACGCGTAAGGTGTATATGTGAAAGTTTTAATTCAGAATTTCATTGAATTTGGACTAATAACTTGCAGGACAAGCAGACACTTTCTATAGTATGAAACCATGAAGATCAAGGCGAGATACCCGGGTCATTAAAACTAACATGTACCATCCAAGTGCATTTAATTTATTGTGCAACAAAGAGTCAATTAAATTGTATTGATTTTATTTTCCCTGTCTCCAAACCTTTTTTCTCTTTTTCAATTTTTTTTTAAAATTGAAGGCTTTCCCTCATGAACAAATGGTCACACTTTGGGTATCTCAGTATCCTATGAATGCATCCTATGAATGCCATATCCAAGACTACACACAATCTATGGATACCTGCTACTGGCCAGAAGTTAAACAATCTGTTCAGGAATGATCTATAATGCTGCTGAAAAGAGTGTGATCTGACACGGTATTTTTTCATGTTACAAAAATTAAAAGCAGAGTTTGTCAACGGGAAGTACATGGTCAAAATTCATTTGCTCTTCCTGAATTTGGCTTGCCCTACCATACGCTAATACTGTATTTATATAAAAGTGGAAGACAAATACTGAGTAGATCATGCAAGACCCTATGGCTAGCTTCAAATCTGTCTTACGTATTGTTTTTAACACCACGGGCAAATGGTTGATAAAATTCCTTGCCCAGCCCTTACATTTACTAGCAATGGGTGTCAGGCAAAGGGATATGTCATCAGCCAAATAATGTATTATGAATTAGGAGATTACCATTGAAAAGTACCTAAAATTGGCCATGGCTAGGTGTACCAAGTTCACACTCTACTTCTTAATGACTTGTCCATCCATCTATCCTAATGATGCCAACGTGACATTGTTCGAAAAGTGGGGACCAATTATTTAAACATGTTTCTGCTATTGATCTATGATGCACGAGGACCCCCAAAGCCCAAAATTAAGCCACTGTCAGAATAGAATCTGCAAATTAATTTGATGAAACTACAAATGAGCACTAAAATAGCTTAAACAGAATAGTGAGATATTTGATATAAAATACAAGTTTCTAACCAAGTTTCTGCCTGACTTGAACAGAATTGAGAATTTGCGCACAGATTGCTTGTCAGTATGAAAGGTGCCTACATGTAAATACATCGCATAAATGTTGACTCAAAAATCAAGTGTGTCGTTCTAATCTATTCGAACATGATATCACTCATTGTGAAAAGAAAAAAAAATGTCCCGAAAACCCAAGATATACCACCTGTATATATCTACATACATATTTGTAAATAACTAAATTAATGTATTGTTGAAAGCGAATGACCTCTTCTTTGGAAGGAGAGTAAAAGAGGGTTGGGTGGTTGTGGCCATTTTATGACTATTTTGATCTCCTCTGGAAGAAAAGCTCCATCTAAAGATGTACTAAAAAGATTAAATTTTAAATCTTAAATTTATGAAATTTTCCTTGCCAAATTATAGTTGACAACTAAAGATATATCTAAAAAAAAAAAGGTTATATCTGGTGGTTAATTTGTTACCACCTAGCCACCTTAAACTATTAAATGGTTAACGTTAAGGCAGTCAGATCCTCTGGCTATAAAAATCGGCAATTAAACATTCTCAATAATGCTATCTGCATGTAATTCAAAAAATAATGTGTTTTTACATTGTACCTATGATATTTCTTCCCATGCCAAGAAATCTCGTCAGGTTTACGCACTGATGAAGTCAATAAAAGTGTAACTGATGCAAATCACCCATATTCCCCAAACGCTACCAAGACAATTTACGACAGCATATTTATATTTTATTAAGGGGGGGGGGGGGTCATAGGTTTTCAGCTTTCTTAGTTAAAGAAAATTAAGCTTGATATATTCCACGATTTATTTCTATCAGTGATATTTTTTTACATTGAAATGAAAATATTAACATAGGCAATCAGGTTGCGTCACACCGGTTATTGTTTTCACTATAAAATTCCATATAGATTACTAAGAAACTTATTGTTCACAGAACAATAAGAGGTCTTTCCACCTTCTTTGAATTTTAAATTTTTATACCTGACTCCTTAAAATTAATTTCCATGAGAAAGAAACCAGAATTATCTTAAAGCATAGAAAAAATGAAAATTGAAAAAAATGGAATATCCTTGACCTTTGACCTTGAAAAAATATTCAAGGTCAAAGATGAAGGGTCATAATGCAATTGATCCCATACTTCTATGACTTACAGTTTTCAAGTTATAAGGTCTAATAGTAAGTACAAAGAAGTTAAAGGGCAATTACTCACATAAGGGCCATCAGATCCTTTTGCACTTATACAGTGAAGTTAGGCCTAAAGTCCCTTAAGACATTAGTGAAGGTTTGGTGTCTCTACGGTCTACAGTTTCGGAGGAGTAGCGATAACAAGGTTTTTCACACAAGGGGATATAGCTTTTAACAGGGTTAATCTTAGGGGACAAGAATGAAATATTTGAAATAGTTTTAAGAGTGCATTTTAATGATGCACAGACAAAAAATATAAGTTGAAAGTGATTAAAATAGCTTAATTTCTCAATTTTTGAATGACCTTTGACCTTTACATAAATTTTAAGGTCAAAGGTCAATGAATCTTATGCAGTTGGTTTCATGTCTTTAGGACTTTTCATTTTGAAAATATTTAATTATTTGTAAAATTCAAAAAGTTTCAGGGGCTATAACTCATTGAAGTGGTCACCGTAGACTTTTGCAATGAATAGATTCAAGAGTCTCCTCAAGTAGTAGAAGACATTGGTAAAGGTTTCATGTCTCTGTAGTTTATGGTTTTCGAGTAGTAGCTATAACATTTTTTTTGCACAAAAGGCGATAACTTTTAATAGGGTCAACCTTAAGGGACAAGTATGAAATCTTTGAAATAGTTTTAAGTGTAGTACTACATATTAAAGATGCAAAGACAGATTCTATATGTTAAAAGACAAAAAAAGATATAAAAATGCTTAATTTCTCATTTTTGGAATGACCTTGACCTTTGACCTTTGCTTAGATTTTAGGATCAAAGGCCAATGAATCTTTTGCAGTTGGTCCCAAGTCTCTACAACTTCTAGTTTTTAAAATTTATTATTATTTGTAAAATTCAAAAAATTTCAGGGGCAATTACTCATTGAAGGGGTCATCGAAGACTTTCGCAATGAATAATTTCCAGAGTCCCCTTAAGTAGTCGAAGACATTGGTAAAAGTTTCATACCTCTACAATTTACGGTTTCAGAGGAGTAGTGATACAAGGATTTCTTGCGAAAGGGACAATAACTTCGAAAGGGGTCCTAGTTCATATGCGTTGGGTCAATTTTTTTCATAACTTTTAATGACCTTTACGATGAACAAAAAGTCTTTTCGATAAGTGTCGAAACAAAAAATCAGCGGAAGAAGAATAATAATAAGAAACAGAAGAAAATAAATAGGTCTTTCCACAGAAAGGTGGAAAGACCTAAAAAGTCGTTAAAAAAACTGATATTTGTTTATTTGAAAAAAAAAAATCTAGCAGGAGGCGTTAAACATTACCTGTCACACTAGCTGACACACTCTCACACAAAAAACCGTACCTACACGGTATTTTCTGACTTTTTCCATCTGCAAACAGGGCTACCCTCAAATCCACGTGTTTTCAATGTGTCTATAAACATTCCGAGAGTACCGCAGGAAGTAGCCTCCTATTCCGGGGAAAAAAAGTTCCTGTCAAAAAACCTTTGTTAAAAAAGTACATGAAATTTACTAGGCACAAGTATCAAAGTTGTAAAAATGGATAGGAAGAAAATAGAAAAACGTCTCAAAAGAAGGGAATATCAATTTTACATGTATTGACCTACATTTGACTAAGTTCATTTTGATTGGTCAATTACCAGTGTGATATCTCTACCCATTTAGTACTCCACTCCCCTCTTGTTTAACCAGAAAATGATATCAACTTCCGGGAATCTGGTACCCTTTTTCCTATAATTCGACGCGCGGTACTTCCACAA